GTGAGAGGGAGGGAGTGTGGGGAGTGAGAGGGAGGAAGGGAGGAGTGTGGGGAGTGAGAGGGAGGAAGGGAGGGAGTGTGGGGAGTGAGAGGGAGGGAGTGTGGGGAGTGAGAGGGAGGAAGGGAGGGAGTGTGGGGAGTGAGAGGGAGGGAGTGTGGGGAGTGAGAGGGAGGAAGGGAGGGAGTGTGGGGAGTGAGAGGGAGGGAGACAGAGGGAGGAAGGGAGGGAGTGTGGGGAGTGAGAGGGAGGAAGGGAGGGAGTGTGGGGAGTGAGAGGGAGGGAGTGTGGGGAGTGAGAGGGAGGAAGGGAGGGAGTGTGGGGAGTGAGAGGGAGGGAGTGTGGGGAGTGAGAGAGAGGAAGGGAGGGAGTGTGGGGTGTGAGAGAGAGGAAGGGAGTTAGTGTGGGGAGTGAGAGGGAGGGAGTGTGGGGAGTGAGAGGGAGGAAGGGAGTTAGTGTGGGGAGTGAGAGGGAGGGAGTGTGGGTGGGAGAGAATGTGGGTGGGAGGTGTGTGGGGGAGATAGGGAGGGAGGGGGAGGGAGAAAGGGGAAAGGAGTGTGGGCGAGGGAGTGAGAGGGAATAAGGTGGACAGAGTGAAAAGGAGTGAGATGGAGTAAGGGGGAGGGAGTGTGGGGGAGTGAGAGAGGGAGGAGTGGGAGTGAGAGAGAGGAAGTGTGGGAGAGGGAGTGGAGAAGTGAGCGAGAGAGAGAATAGGGGGAGCGGGGCTTGTCATCTCTCAAGTCAAGATCCACCATCCTGATCACAGAATTCGGCTGTATGTATGTACGTACTTATGTTTGTATGTATTTCACCATTCATGTATTTACTCCCTTTGACGCACAGGTCTTCAGAAACACTCTCCAAGGACGATGTACGAAAAGGGCGTCGCTCTCTTCCCCGCCAGGAGGAAGTTGGCGCATTTCACTCTGTTTCTGCTTCGAGGTGAGTCAGTGGCAAGGGAGCCTCTTGATAAAGTCGAATTCTTGTCGTATTGATTTTTAAAAATTGCACCAATTAATAAACTTTCTCCGTCTCTGTCTCTCGCTTTTCTTTCTCTTCCTCTCTCTCCCTTCTCTCTTGCTCTCCCTCTCTACTTCCCTCTTGCTCTCCCTCTCTACCTCCCTCTTCCTCTCCCTCTCTCCCTCCCTCTTGCTCTCCCTCTCTCCCTTCCTCTTGTTTTCCCTCTCTCCCTTCCTCTTGCTTTCCCTCTCTCCCTCCCTCTTGCTCTCCCTCTCTACTCTCCCTCTCTCTCCCTCCCTCCCTCCCTCTCTCCCTCCTCTCTCTCTCTCTCTCTCTTTCTCTTCCTCTTCTCTCTCTCTCTCTCTCTCTCTCTCTCTCTCTCTCTCTCTCTCTCTTGCTTGTGTGTATCACTACGCTAATACATATACACAGAAAAATAGGGAAACTGTCTGCTACTAAGTTCCAAAATAAGATTTTTTTGATGTTTTCTCTACCCAACGATCTTGGGGGATGCGTGGGGAACCGGGGGTTGAAGGGAGAGGGTTAATGGATGGCACTGGATGTCAATAGGAACCTGCAGAAATCGAAGAAAATGATTTAAGAAACGTTAAAAAGTCGATTTTTCGAAAACCCGAGCCAAATTTCCGTCCCGAAAAGCACAAAAAACGATGAAAATCGGCCTGTGAAACTCTACAAACGTCCCCGCCATCTTTGAAAGTCTACGGACCGGCGCGCCAATTTTCAATAAACTCTACGGGAATCAAACCCAGTCTTCGGTAAAAAATTACGGGATTTCACATAATCCAGATCCCCTGTGGTAATCGTACAATGCGTCCTAACCAATAAACCAACCTAACCTAACCCTGTGTGATTTATACACTACGATATATTTATTCCCTAGCCAGGGGGCTCTGCCCCCTGGCCCACCGTGGTATTAAATGCGCCTAGCCAGGGGTCTACGCCCCCTGGATCCCCTAGTAATATATAAACCTAGCCTAACCTAACCTAACCTAATTATATGCGCCTAGTAGTACTATGTGGCTTTAAGAAATTACGATCTATACATTCCCTAGCCAAGGGGCTCTGCCCTCTGAACCCCGAGGGTAAAACCACATACCTATATATAGCGAAAGACCGAACTTTTCTTGGCTTCCGTCTATGGTCCGAATTCCTTGATTTATAATCCCTTTTTGGAAAACTTTCCGCCTATGTCAACCAATCGTACAGTAAAATAAGTGTGTGGAATGGATACCTTGACGAAAACTAAGGCACTTTTCATCTATGGTAAAAAGTGCGCAAATCTAAAATAAGGGAGATACAGGACAGGGATATTGTGCAAAATAGTGTAAATAGTTATCAAAACACGTAAAAGAAGTATAATAAAAGTAAAAGAATTCATTAAATGCACGAATTCGGAAAAACAGACACTGGTAATTACAAAATAATCGGTTTCACAAGCGCGTAGTAATACATGGACTACTTGATAGATCGCAATAATGGCCTTGGCAAGGTAAACATGGATGGGGACTTCAGAACGTCTCAGAGCGGTGCCATGCAGAGCCTATTTTTTGTCGTTTCCCGGTAAATGTGAGGCCGCTGCAGAATTAGATGAATTGATTCCTATTCCATTTTTGATGCTCTACAAGATGGCAATGTCTAATTTGCTCTATCTCCGTGCGTCGCTCTCGGTAACTAATTAACCAGTTCGAGCTAAGATTCGGTCACGGAAGATTCGAATCGATGTTTCCCATTCGAACACACTCCATTCTAAACGCACACATCATCACAGAACCGTCTTATGAACCAAAATACCTTTACAAACCTTCAACAAACCCGAACCCCTACCGCTTCATCTATTTGGATGTCAATACAGTTAAAGAAGGAATATTGTGTTTACCTTGCCGTAGAGGATGGAGGATTGGCGAGGCTGGGAACGTGACGAACCTCTGATTTCCGTCGGATAATTACGGCAGAATTGCAACAGGAATATATTTCTTGCACTTCGAAGGGTTTAGCAGTATCCCAGAGCTTGCAATAATTTAATGAAGCGTTCACTACACCGGGGTATTGGGAAAGAATTAAAAAAAACAAAAAAACAAGTAGTACTGTTAACAAAATCCGCTTCGAAAGGCAAGAGAGGTTGTTGTGACAACAGAACTGCCAAATGTGCCGCTAGGAGATTGCGCATGTGGAGCGATTTAACAAGTATTTCTGTTTAAAAAAATGTGTGTACTTAATAATTGGGAAGACATATAACAGGAATTTATATTTGATAAGTACATATTTTGGAATAGTGCAGTTAAAATCTAAACAGAGAAATACGTTAAAAAGTATGGTGTCTTTTAGGAGAATGACAATGATCTGTCGTGACTTTAGGACCTCCAAGCGAAGGATAGTTATGCAAGGTCACGGCGCAGGTAGTTGGTTCATTGCAAGGCAAGGTCAAGCTGGGATGCAAGAGAGGACCTATTTACTTCATTTTTGGCACCACGTTTTGCCTGCATAGATTATTTTACATATTACAAGTGGTCTTGTAATAAGTCTCTAAGACTATTCTTATATGTATAGATATGCACCTCATATTTTATTCTAGAATTAAAATATCTTTAGGGATCGTGCCTTTAGGTCTCTTTATAATTCGTTATTATTGAAATATATTGAACAAACGACAGCGCTGCGTGTATTAATGCTGACAAAGAAATAAGGAAAACAAAATCACTTTTTCTAATGTCTTTGAGAAAATTGACTTAATGCATTTTTTTTTTTTTTTTTTTTTTTTTTTTTTTTTTTTTTTTTGTATCCATGAATTGAACATACATTTGGTGTTTTCATCTAATTAATTTTATGGACTTTTCACTAAAATAGCCAGCCTTTAATCTAGTCCATTTTTTAAACTGATTACAAGAATTTACTTACTTCAGCGATGTGCAAACTTGTATAATAATGATGATGATTGATGCTGATAATGATAATAATGATGATGATGATAATGATGATAATAATAATATCATAATAATTACAATAATATATGTATATATACATATATATATTATATATATATATATATATATATATATATATATATATATATATATATATATATTTGTGTGTGTGTCTTCTTTTTTATAAGGAGGGTTAGAATACATCAACGAGAGGAAAAAATAGATAAAGACTATTGCTCTTGGATTTGTAAAAAACATTTGTTATTTCGACAGCTTTCGACAGTTTTGTTAACGTTTCGTTCCTTTCTGATTTCAATTATACGTCTAATATATACTTCAAATTGGATAACTAGTTTCTTTCCATTTCTGACCACATTTATTTTTTTCTCTCTCTCTCTATCCTCTCTTTATTTGAGCGGACGAGATTGACATACAAAATTGTCAAGTAAAAATAGAAAAGAAAAACAAAATAGTGAAAATAAAAACTGACATGTATATTTTCTTCACAGTAATAACAGCTAGTGTCATGGCTTCGGAATGTGACCCTGGTGAGTCGGGTTTTTTTTTTGTGTGTGTGTGTTTTAATGCGAGTAATGTATGTATATCCACTGTACAGTAAGTGTGAACATATCCATACTGTTAGGCTATATTTGCTGCTACGATATTGACAATAAAATTACTTGATTATGTTAGAGATTCTCATGATAGTGTATTAATGATAGTAAACATGGGTTCATTGCTAATGTTAAAGTTACTAATAATAGTAATAATAGTGATAGTGATAATGATGATGATAATGATAGAAGGGGAGAGGCAAGCTTAGCGAGCGAAGTGAGAGAAATCAGTTTCTGGGACGCTGCGAGCCCCTCCCCCCCCCCCGTGATTTTTTTTTTCTCTTTTTTTTAAGTGGGCTATTCTAAGAGCATCAGGTTGCAATTTAGACAAAGAACCGTACGTCTGTGGCCCTTGAGAGAGGCAATCAGTCAATCCCCCCCCCCCTTCCTCACCCAAATGACTAATATCAATATTCCCTTTCTCACAACCATTCTTCCTTTTTTACGTTCATTTTCACCTCAACACACCCTCACACTTATTCCCACAGTCACACACACCTCCATTTCTCACACACCTCCATTTCTCACACTCCTCTTTCACACTCAACCTCACATTCCGCAACTCCATTAGCCTGCCTTGGACATCGCCTCGTGCAAATTGGGCTGCCCCTCTTGAACGACACCGCTGTGAGTTACTGGTGGCCCGGACAAGCCATTGAATCAGTCCGCATCAATGGAAACGGACTGGAGATGATCTCGGATGTCCCAGAGGCGAAGAGGAACCAATGGCACGCCCTCGTTACACAGTCCAGGTTCTCACAGGAGGACGAGTTGATGCTTAAACACATGGGTAAGGGGCATCGGTCGAAGAAGGTACCTTTTTTAAAAAGTATTGGTTTGTTTGTTCCGGTTCCCGTTGTATGGTTTTATGTTTATTGTCTCTTGTTGTGGGTCTTAGTTTGTGTGTGTGTGTCTGTGTGTGTTTTACTCTCTCTCTTGGGTGTCTTTGATTAGAGGTGTTTGTTGTGTGTGTGTGTGTGTGTGTGTGTGTGTGTGTGTTTGTATGTGTGTGTGTGTGTGTGTGTGAGAGAGAGAGAGAGAGAGAGAGAGAGAGAGAGAGAGAGAGAGAGAGAGAGAGAGAGAGGGGCAGTCAGAGAGCTAGAGAGAGAGCTAGATAGAATGGGAGGGAGAGGGGGAGAGAGAGAGAGAGACAGAGACAGACAGACAGACAGACAGTCAGAGAGCTAGAGAGAGAGAAAGAGATAGATAGATAGATAGAGAGAGAGAGAGAGATACAGACAGACAGTCATAGAGCTAGAGAGAGAGAGAGAGAGACAGACAGACAGACAGTCAGAGAGCTAGAGAGAGAGAGAGACAGACAGAGACAGACAGTCAGAGAGCTAGAGAGAGAGAGAGAAACAGAGAGAGAGAGAGAAAGACAGACAGACAAAGAGCTAGAGAGAGAGGGGGGGAAGAGATAGACAGACAGATAGACAGACAGTCAGAGAGCTAGAGATAGAGAGAGAGAGAAAGAAAGAGAGAGAGAGAGAGAGAGAGGCAGTCAGAGAGCGAGAGAGAATGGGAGGGAGAGAGAGAGAGACAGACAGACAGACAGAAACAGAGACAGAGAGAAAGAGACAGACAGACAGACAGTCAGAGAGCTAGAAAGAGAGAGAGAGAGTGTAATGACACCTTTGTGGGTGCTGTGTCTCCCCTCTTTCTCTTCAGTATGTATGGAACGGGGACTGGTTTGGTACTTGAAGTGTTGTGGAGTTAAGTTAAAGTTGTCACAGCTTCGGAAGTTTTTATTGTACAGGGTAGCGTGGTAGGTGGGATACAGAGGACGGGCAAGGCAGGGGCGCTCAGGGAAGATCGGGGCGACCTGCCCGGCCCGCCGTGGCGAGCGGTCTGCCTGAACTGCTCAGAAATTTCTATCAGCAAACTTCGTTTTGAAACAATTCATAATGAAAAACATGAAAGAATCTGAATGAACATAAATTCCTATACATATGGTAACATAGTGGTTTCGTGGTGAAGGAACAAGGGTACCTTATACACACGGTTATATGTAAGAAGAGCTATGGTGTTTACAAGACTAAAAAGCTTCGAGATAAGGACACAAAAATGCTGAGTGTACACAAAAATAAAGACATTTGAATATAGGCAATGCTAGCGGTAACACAAGAGAGACAGAGAGAGAGACAGACAGACAGACAGACAGACAGTCAGAGAGCTAGAGAGAGAGAGAGAGAGACAGACAGTCAGAGAGCTAGAGTTTGTATGTGTGTGTATGAGAGAGAGAGAGAGAGAGAGACAGATAGTCAGAGAGCTAGAGAGAGAGAGAGTAATTACAACTAGACCCTCCTAATTCTTGTTCGTTGCCATTCCAGGTGCGCGCCTCGGGGGTTGGTACACAGTGTCCATCCCCACCCTGGACATCTTTGTAAATGTATCCTGTAACGGATTGAGCTGCAAGAACGTGGCAGTTATAAGCGACCAACCCATGACGTGGGCGTTAGGGTGCGCCAACGCTCCTTGTGGTGGGTTACTGTTTGGTGTGTGTGTGTGTGTGTGTGTGTGTGTGTGTGTGTGTGTGTGTGTGCATATATGAATACAACATTTCGAATATAGTCGTTAGTCTGGTAAATTAAATATCAGTATTAAACAAGGAGGAAAATCAGTTAATCATAGGTGATGAGTAGATATGTAGATAGATAAACAGACGAGAAATCATCCGAGATTCGGAGATTGCTCGACATTATAACCGTTTCTTTCTTTAGGATGTCCGAGCGAAGCGGCAAAGGAGTGCGCCCTGGGTGGGGTGCAGAAGACAGGTAGGACGCTGCTGGTTCTGTCTGTCTGTATCTCTCTCTCTCTCTCTCTCTCTCCTCTCTCTCTCTCTCTCTCTCTCTCTCTCTCTCTCTCTCTCTCTCTCTCTCTCTCTCTCTCTTTCTCTCTCTCTTTCTCTCTCTGTCTTTCTCTCTCTCTCTCTCTCTCTCTCTCTCTCTCTTTCTCTCTCTCTCTTTCTCTCTCTCTTTCTCTCTTTGTCTTTCTCTCTCTCTCTCTCTCTCTCTCTCTCTCTCTCTCTCTCTCTCTCTCTCTCTCTCTCTCTGTCTTTCTCTCTCTGTCTTTCTCTCTCTCTCTCTCTCTCTCTCTCTCTCTCTCTCTCTCTCTCTTTCTCTCTCTCTCTCTCTCTCTCTCTATCTATCTCTCTTTCTCTCTCTCTCTCTCTCTCTCTCTCTCTCTCTCTCTCTCTCTCTCTCTCTCTCTCTCTCTCTCTCTCTCTCTCTCTCTCTCTCTCTTTCTCTCTCTCTTTTCTCTCCCTCTTCCTCTCCCTCTCCCCCCTTCCCTCACACACACACACACACACACACACACACACACATACACACACACACACACACACACACACACACACACACACACACACACACACACACACACACACACACACACACACACCACTGAATGTATGTGTGAATACATGTCTATATGTATGCCTCTACAACATAACCACATACTTGATAATGCACCTTAGACATCCCACTCCCCCGCTGTCCTTTCCAACACAGGCTGCGACATCCTCTACCTCACCCAAGCTGGAATGGTCCTCGACTCCCCTCTGAAGGTGTTCTGGCGACCTCTGCTCCTCCATTCAAAACTGAACTTCTTTTGGGGTACAGAGGATGTGTTTGCCGAACCCTACGTCATTTCCGCGGTCCGAAAAGCACTGCACACCTGGGTTCCTTTTGAGATTCACACGCGGATTGTGGAGATTGGTAAGGTTGGACTGCTGAAGGTGTGCTTGTGATGCACTGTCGTTGTATTGTTAGTGAGTTATTTATTGTTATACAGTTGTTGGTGGGGAGGTTAATCTTTTTCTTATTAAGCTATCATAATGAGCACTGATAGTAATAGTGGGGTTAACATGGATAAAATGACAATAATACAGTTTGTACGGTAGTATCAGTAGTATCATAACCACCATTACAAGCAGCATTCACTCTCGCCTGCTCCATTCACAACAGGGAACAAGATAGTACGAGAATGCAATATGACAATACCCGGTTACGATTTCGGTACAAAGTGTTCAGACGCTGATAAAGCAGTGTTGTTTTATTCTACTGAACCTGCTGTCATAGCTCTCGGGTGTGACGTGCCACCAGTCTACAAAGATACGGCAGGTCAGTCTTCCAAGTTTTTTATTCATCCTAATACGAAATGACATTACGTGTAGAAATGATAACCACACTTAAAATATGTAATGATATTAAGTACAATATCTGTATAAAAATGGATGTTAATTGAAATATATATATTTTTTAAGTTGCACGTGCAGTTGATTATTTCATAGCGGACCATAAGCTCCCTCCCACTCCCGCAGAGCCATTTCTGAATGATCTGCACTTAATAAGTCAACATCCGATAAAGTTGCCACAAGGAAAGGTTTATGGTAACTAGGGGAAAATGGGAAAACTGAACATTACTGACTACTTATCGAAAAACGCTCATATGTCCGTGCCTTTACTTGAAAACTATTAGAATAACTAACTGTTAGCCAAAACAAGGTGATTTAGAGCAACGTAAATATTACAGATTAATTCATTTGAGGTAAAGGTGATACTGAATATAATCTGGCGTAACCAACACGAAAGAACCCGTCCTGAGTGTACAAATTACCACAAAGATCCCAGTATGAAACAACACCTTAACACGATGGCTCCTCCGCCAAAGGCACTTACGCTTGCCATATTTCCCTCGCCGGGGGCTCCGTCCCCTTCACCTCCTCATGATCGCTGTATCTCCCTTGTCGGGGGCACCGCTCTCAGGCCGCCTCCCAATCACCCCATCTTCTACCCAACTGCTTCATCCACTACAATAGTCAATGCATTAATAGACAATTCTTATTGTCAGGGGTAAAAACCTGTTACGGCTGGGTATGTGCAGCTGGAACACTGTCATCAGTGCCGGATTTAGGTACAAACTAAACACGCTCCAGTGTAGAGCTTGACAGTCTGCACGGGGCCTCAAGATATTTCCAAACTGGGTCTTTTTACCTCAGGTAATGGTTAATGATTATAAATTAAAATAAATGTGTTTTACATCAAAGGTCATATAACACTATAGAAAGGTGTAGTAGCGAAAAAGGTAAAGAGAGGACTACATTACAGATGCTACACTTCAAAAGTCGTACAGCAGTTTAAAATAGTATGGTACTAAAAGGGATAAAAAGAGGTGAGGTTAAATAGGGTTAAGGTAAGAATTAGCAAAAGGGTGATTACATCAAATGGAAGATATGTATGCATTTGATGAAGGAAAAGTTACCAAAGGAGAATGTGTAGGATTTCGCAAGGATGTCCATGGGGTAAGACAGGGATTCGCAAAAGGATAAAAGGAGAGCAATTTCAGGAGGAGGAGGATCCAGGGAAAGGTATTGTGACAAAAGGGAGTCAAATGTGTATCCTTAAGATGGAGAGAGATAACAGGGAAGAAAGTAGGGGGGATATTAATGAAGCAGGGGGGGGGTGGAGTGTGATGGGAGGGAGTGGGAGGAAGAATTGTAGGGGGAACATGAGTAGGAGGAGGATGGATGTCGGCAGGTATTTTGAGTGTAGAGGGAATGGGAGCAGAAAGATTGGAGGGTGGATGAGGTATAGGCATGTTATTTTGAGCCATGATTAGATAACTTTGGATGACCTCAAGTTTCTGGAAGGGAGTTGGTTGGGGAGGTCTGAGAAACAAAGACTTTCTTATGATGGAGAGAAGAGTAGAAAGACATTTAAAGGACAGAGGAAGAGGTAGATACAGGAGAGGATGCAGGAGAAAATGGGGTGGATTGTTTAGATCAGTGGTTCTTCACCTGGAGGGACGTCAGTAATTTCCAAGCAGGGCAAGAGCCTCCCTTGGGGAAAAAAACCCAGAAATTTCTCTATTTTTATTTGGTATTCTCTTAACGACGGCACGGTCATATAATGCGTTTATAATAATACAACTAATTCATACTTAATAAAGAACATATTTTTATTTCTATTTCAAATGTGGGAGGGCATTTTACTCATAGGCACAAAGGAGGCGTGGAGGGAAGAACAAATTCCTTGAGGACGTGTGGTACTAGAAAGGCTTAGACTAGTGCGAGGAGGTGGAGTAAAGATTGGAGTCTCTGGATTTCGAATGGCACGTGATCTTAACTGGGAGAGGAGGGGAGGTAGAAGTAAGAACTTAAAGAGTAGGAGGAAGAGATATTGAGTAAGATAGAAATATCTTGGGGAGAAGGGGGAGAGGCAGAGCAGAGGACAGCACTGCAGTAGGAAGCAGGAAAAACCTCGTCGGCGTGCTTCCTGCCTGGCTTCGCGTAAAGTGAGGCCAAGTTTGAATCTGAGACCTGCAATTTCAGACTCGAACTTGTAGATAGGGCAGCTCCTATAATATATATTAAGGGGGCCACCACAATTGGCATGCGTGTGTGATTATGCAGGAGAGTTTGAGCTATCATGGCCCGGGTGAACATATAGAGGGCAGCGGGCTAGGGGACGGTAGTATTTGGCAGAATGGCCTAGACGCCAACAATTCTGACATTGTCCGGGGTGGGTGGCGGCTTCGATATGGTCAAAAAGGGATTGACTCTCCGCCAATTGGGGAGGTCATGTCTACGGAAAGTAATCTTGGCAATATTGGTGAACTTACGGTGGCCTGTAAAGGGAACGGTATATGGCACTGTACTGTTACTGAACCATAGTCTTCTCCACACACTGACCACTCCTTGTCACAGACAGGACAATTTGTCAGTGATATGGAGACAGTTCCGATACAAGTATTGAGGGATGAACGAGTTGATCAGTAAAGTCAGTCAGGGTTGATAATGCTTTAGCTTGGGATTCGTATGTAACTGCGACAAGGTGGGGAACTATCCGGCGGCTGCGCAAGGAAACTTTGCCTACATGTTATTGGAGGCACTGCTGGAAGAGAAGAGTGTTGTCAGACTATTACTAAACAGAGTATTCAAGAGGTGGGGGTAGTAGAGGGACGGGGACGTGTGGAAGAGGGAGTAGTGTTGAAATAGGTAATACTGCTGTGAGGTGGACAATAAAGCTGCAGGATAGTAATAAGATGTTTTCTGGGTAGATGACGAACTAGACTGATAGTATATGTTGAGGAGGGATTACTAGTCTAGAGTCGTGGTCAGTGAACTGGGGAAATTAAAATCAGTGGGGCTAGTAGACAAATGGGCAAGCCTCATCTTTATTGTTGGCCATGGTACGCCTAGAGTATGTTGAGAAACAGTGAGGCAATAGTATATTATATAACACCATGAACGTCTTTAATGTAAGTATCTATATTGATAACACGACCTAACACTTATTCCTGAGATGTTAAAATTTCCTCTTTCACATTTACTGTCTGTCTTGAAACACATGGTTCAGCTGATTCCCACAATGGCCAATGATGGTAGTGGTGTTAGTTTCATTTGTACCCGACTGTACACAGTCTGCTTTTCGCTATCCCAGTTGTGGCAATGCAAATGGCAAGGACAATAGCAACGATACTGGCATCATTAATAATCACAATGATAACATCAACGCATTCTTCCTCACAATAGTCGGGTTGCCTGGTTGGGCGTTTTGCGTTATGGCTCTCATCTTTATCGGCCTTTGTGTCTCCGCCTTCTGCGTCGTCAGGAGGAGGAGGAGGAGGACTCGCCGCCTAGTGACCGCTTAGACAGAGGTAATTGTTTTAGTTAAATAATAGTTTTATTTTTCCCCACTTGTGATGTATGTTTGCTCTGTTTTAAAATGTTTCTCTCTCTCTCTTTCTCTCTCTCTCTCTCTCTCTCTCTCTCTCTCTCTCTCTCTCTCTCTCTCTCTCTCTCTCTCTCTCTCTCTCTCTCTCTCAAAGTGTGTGTGTATTGTACTTGTGTCGGTCTGTCTATTAATCTATCTGTCTGTAAATATACACATTGATGTATGAATAGATGCATGTGTGCGTATGCGTGTGCATGTGTTTTCGTGTGAATGCATGCATCCATGTATGTAAAGTATGTATGTATGTATGTATATATATGTATGTATGTATGTAGGTAGGTATGAATGTATGTATGTATGTATGTGTGTGTGTGTGTGTGTGTGTGTGTGTGTGTGTGTGTGTGTGTGTGTGTGTGTGTGTGTGTGTGTGTGTGTGTGTGTGTGTGTGTGTATGAAGCATCTTGGCATTTTTGACACTGTCATGATATTGAAATGAGAATGTGAAAATGATAAGACTATTGTGTTACCTTATATATTTTCTTAGGTTTTATATCATTAAATGTCTTGCATAAATAACTACATTTAAATAATTGACACTAAAAAAATACACATATATAATAGCACTAAAAATGTACACAAATATAATAGCAAAATTACTTTAAATTCTATGCTCTGACATGATAATTATATTAGTATACTTTAGACAATATAAAAGTATATACTGCTTCTAAGCTTTAAAATTCCTTAAAATGAAATTAATATGAAAACTATGATGTGAAACTATACAATAGCTATAGAATAGTTAACCCTGAGTCACATGCTTGAACTGTTAGCCACTGCAAGAAGCTTCAATACAGAGGAATTCAAATGATCTTTAAAGTTTAACTCTTGTGGAAAGATGCCTTTGAACAATGTGGGAAAAATTAAGAAAATACAATATCTAAATGAAAAACGTTGAGCATACAAACCAGATCCTGGAGGCAGTGTTAAATGCTAACCAGCCTGGTGTCCTTAGAATGTTAATACAAAGTCATGGAAGACTGGAGAGTGTACAACTATTTCCAGTTACATAAGAATGTTTACACGAAATGAACATTATACAAAGTTCAAAAACATGAAATAAATTTAGCCAAAGGTGTGTCATAAATTAAACGAATATCACATTTCATGTTTTTTGTTTTTTTTTAATACAAAGAGAAAATTATGGAGTATATTTGTTTTACAAAATTGTATTTTTTTTCTTCTTTTTCTTATTTCAGGTATCTCATTCTTCAACCACATCATAAGACAGATTTGTACCCAACCACTTTTCTACAACCTGGACATCAGTCCCACGGCGCTTTGCGTAATCCATCACCTGCAGAGAAACATTTTTTTTTTTTTTAGAGATGTTCTCCAATGTTTAGTGTTTTAGCTATGACTAAAATGTTCATGGCATCCTTATATAATTATACTTGTTAATGTAAAAGGAATCTATCTTTATAGCATCTGCCTTTATATATGTCAAAAAACAACATGAGTACTGTACTTTATCTAATAATTCACACAAATAAAATACAGTGACTTCAATATAATAAATTTACACCTTGGAAACCTTCACTACTGATCCACTTCCTATGTAAGTGAAACACCCACCTGGTCTTTCTCCACTTTGCCGACGGAGAAGTAGTGGCTCTTGGGGTTGGCGAAGTACAGACCAGATACTGACGCAGCAGGAGTCATGGCGAGAGCTTCCGTGAGCCCAATACCTGTTGCTTCTTCAACTCCCATGAGACTCCACATGGTCTGCTTCTCTTGGTGGTCTGGCTGGCTGGGGTATCCAGGGGCAGGTCTGATGCCCTAGTGGGGAAATCACAGGAAAATTAGGATTTATTCAGACTGAAAATGTAATGAAGGAAACATGGGAAAATTAAGATTTATTCAAACTGTAAATGGAAGAAAAGAATCACGAGATATTTAAGTTGAATTTAAATCGAAAGCGAAGGAAAAGAAAAAAAAGGAGAAAATGAAGGAAGAGAGAAACTTGCCTGATATTTGATTCTGTGTAGATCATTTGCTTCCAGATACTCATCACTAGCATAACCCCATAAGTCTTTCCTGACTCTCTCATGGAGTTCTTCCGCAAAGGCTTCTGCCAGCCTATCAGCGATGGCCTTGACCAAGATAACATTATAATCATCAAAGTCTGCCTGGAATCTGAAAAGAAAAATAATGAAATGGATCAGGTTTTGTCTTTTGGTAGAGAATCTAAAAAGTAGGGCATATTATCTATATATACACATATATATCTTTATATATATACATGTATATTTACACAAACACACACACACACACACACACACACCAGTGGCGTGGTGGCCGGGGGGGGGGGGGGGGGGGGGGGGGGGGGGGGGGCAAAAGCTCACTGAAAGCAAATATGTACACAAAATCTACAGCTCTCCAAAAAGGCACCTACAGTCCAAATGGTACAAATACATTTGTACCAGGGTGCAGTTCTCAAAGGGGCGCCCAAAAAGACTAGTGCCCCCCCCCAGCCAAATAGGAGCCACCATGCCACTGAAACACACAAACACACAAAAAAACACACACACACACACACACACACACACACACACACACACACACACACACACACACACACACACACACACACACACACATTGATAAAAAAAATAATCCTTTAGAGTAAAATAATGCGATCTACTTACCGTTTGCACAGTTCATCGGTGCCAAAGCCTGCTGTTACAGCAAACATGCCAATGTAGTCCTTCACTCCTGTTTCCTTTGGAGCAATGAAGTCAGATATGC